GAGAAGGCTACCATGTTTGGTTAATTTGGTGTCAGAGAAAAAAAGGAAGAACTCCAATTAAATACACTGGCACAGTGGCTCCAACACAGCCATGATTGTGAGAATGGCTCAAGGACTGTAAATGTTTTGTTTGGTTGTACATATGTTGGAACATGGCGTTTCTATGAGTTGGTGCCAACTTGATAGCTAGCAACAAGGAGATTTATTTGGTAGTTTGTAGGTGATATACAACCTTGGTCACTGAAACTGAGGAGGACTTGAAGTGTTTGCTGCAAAAGTTCAAGGACTGCAGTCTTAATTATATCTCCACATCAAGAAAGCAAAGATCCTCACCACTGGCCCAATAGGCTAGATAGGTGGAGACAAGATTAAGATTGTTAATGATTTCATGTTGCTTGGACCCACAACGAACACCATGGCACTTGGGAAAATCTGCTGTCAAAGACCTCTCCAGAGTGCTAAAGAGCAACTATGTTAGTTTAGAGACTAAGGTGCACCTGATTCAGGCCATGGTCTTTGAAATTGCCTGCTATGTATCTGAGAGCTGGACAATGACTAAGGATGAGAAAAGTAGAATCAATGCCTTTGGATGGTGTTGCTGGAGAAGAGTCTGGAACATACCATGGGCTGCCAATAGAACAAACTGATGTGTTTTAGAGAGGGTGAAATTAGGTTGTTCCTTGGAGGCAAAGATTTTAAAATTCCACCTCACATACTTTGGGCTTGTGGCCAGGAGGGACCAGTGCTTAGAGAGGGACATTGTGCTTGGAAGGGTAGAGATGGTCAACACAGAAAAGGAAGACCCTGGATGAGATGGGTTGTCACAGTGACGATGGTAATGGGCTCTGGTGTGTCAGATATGGTGAGATTGGCTCAGGATAGGCAAGGTTCAGAGCCAGTGTTCACAGGGTTGCTGTAAGTTATAGTTGACTTAAGGGCACATAACAACAGGTGGCACAAACAGCTAATTGACAGACTGTCAAGCAAATGACTGGTGTCTATACCCACTCAAAAACACTTTCCAAGTAGAAAAGGACTGGAAATCTGCTTCCAAAAGGTCACAGACTTAAAAACTTTGTGGAAAACATTTCTACTCTGAGTACAATGGATTGTTATTGAATCAGAATTGAACTGTTTTGGGGTTATGTGTTTTTTTTTTCTGGTATGTGAGTAAGCTTAGCTACTATGTGATGATGCCATTGAATCATTCCTCTACAGATGTCAACAGTCTCCTACATGCCTTACAACTCTGTTTCCCAGTCACCTATTGACTCATTTCTCTGCAGAAGTCAACTCTGTTTCCCATATGGCATATTGCAGTGCTGGTGTAGGGTAATCAGAAGAGTCAGCATAACTTTTTCCTGGAAAGATTAGTTGGTTTGTGAATTGAAAAAAGCTGGCAAATATACCATGATCTTTTTTAAATTTCAAAGGCTAACATATTACTTTAATTGGAACACACATAATTTTTAGCAACACCTTTCCCCTTATATTTGATTCTAAAGCAAATTATTAAGTTCTGAGGATAAGAATATAGTTTCAAAGTCATACACTTGCTTTTTCTGGATCAAGCTGCCAATTCTTAGTAATTTAAGCACATCAAGTTTGCTTTTAATTGGACTTCCCCAATAGAGAGTCCTTTGGATTCAATTCCTGGCTCCATTTCCAATTCTCTTACTTTCATTTTAGTGCATGTGTGTATTTTACTCGGTATAACTTGCTTTCAAAAATGCCTGTTCTTTTGCTCTCTCTCTCCCAAAATTGTTACTCTAGTATTTCTACTAATGAAGGAGCCTGGCCTCCTTTAGCACAAGGCTGCTGAGGACAAAAAGGCTCACTCGAGCCATAAGAAAGCTGTGCAAGGTGAAACAAACTAGTCTCCAGTGCCTGATTTCATCCATATTTGTGCTTATGAAAACTTTGGCAGGGATAGTGTCCACTGGGGCAGACAGTTCATTATATTCATTCCAAAGCTTGGCCTGGAGTTTGGGTAGATGGGCTTTGTGATCTGCTCCAGCAGCAAGGAACACTGCTGAGAACTCTCCTTGGAGTTGATGCATTTAATGGACAAGGTGGAGAAAGAGCACACCTTGCCTCAGAAGCTCCTGCTTTAGGCAGGAATGATCATCGATCTCTGTGGACGGCAACTGGCTGCTGTACTGTGTGGTAGACACTGTGATTGTTAATAACATGCTATGTCAAATGCTCATCGTGACATTGATCGTGACATGAGGGCATTGATCTGACTTAGGGTTGAGAGAAAAGCCCCTGTATGTTTGAGGTAAGCCATTTTGTAAGGGTTGGGGGCTCATAGAACAACTTCTCTATTTACCATACCACTCAGTGGCATAAACTAATCAACTCAATTACTCCCTAGTTCCATCAACAGAATAATTAGAAAAAAATGGTCAGGCTTTCTTCCAGAAACACCCTCAGTGGCATCAATGCTCATTGTTCTAATCCATCAAAGATGCTGTCTTTCGACTTGCAAAATTATTTAGTGGAGCGCAAGGGACTCTTTAGATGATTAAATCACGTTGTTCCAGTCTCTCATTGTTTGTGTGTTTTAATTTTGTATTTGCACCTTGAGCAGAGTTATCAGAAAGGGATCATCGATAAATTTATTAAATCAGTCTTTGAAATGAGAGCAGAGAGAGTCTGTGAATGCTTCGGAGGATCCGTCCTCTGATAGCCTCTTGGTCTCGATTCTTCCCTTTTTCCTCTATCTACATCTTCCTTCTCCTACACTCTCCATTAGAACTCAAACACTAATGAGTAGAAACACACAGAAGTTAACTGGAAAGTTTCAACAAAATGCACATAATTAATGTCTATGCACGAGGCTAAAAATGAGTGCATACTGTATCAGGCTCTGAAGCTAAAGGTCAGGGAATCTGAATGCACCAGCTGCTTCTCAGGAGAAAGATGGGCAGTATGTTCCCATAAAGATTTACAGCCTGGGCTAGCTGGGGAGGGTGTCTATGAGTTGGCATTGAAATGACTCCAAGGCAACAGAAAAGGAAATCTTTACATATACAATTGTTACATATAACATTGTTGTTGCTGTGTGCCTTCAAGTTGGAACCAGCCTGTCAGTGGGTTTTCAGAGACAGTAAAATGCACAGGAGGAAACTGTCCTTCCTTCTTCCACAAAGCAGCTGGTAGATTCAAACTTCAAGCCTTTGGGATTGCAGCACAGCTTCTTACCACTAGGCCACCAGAGCTCCCTTGAACTCCTATATCCATACATGTTGCTGGGGAAACCAAGAACCCTCAGTGGTCCAGTAGCTAAAGTGGTAAGCTCCTAACTGGAAAGGTCTGTGGCTTGAAGCCATCTGTGGGATGCTCTCAGAAAATGGATAGCCTTGAAATCCCTATGGGGCAGTTCCATCCTGTCCTCTAGGCCACTATGCATTGGAATTGACTTGAAAGCACTAGGTTTGGTGTTTGAGGTTTTTTAATGGGGAAAACTGAAATTTTTCTTTTTGGGTAAGGTGTAAACTCTTGGGACAGTCCTGCAGCCTTTTTGGCTCCCACAAAAGAAGAACCTTTGAACAATAATTCTGTTTGCCATTAATTAACAGCCTTGAGCCTCAGCTGGTCTTCTCGTTTCCCCTCAGTGCTGAGGGCAAATTTACATCTTTCTGCCCTACCCCACCTGACTTCAGTGCTCAAGCATCCTGCTTAGTTATTTAACGTGCTTGGTTCTTTGACTACTTTAGATGATCAATGCTTAGAATAATTTTTTAACTTTAGATTTCTTGAGAGTTCAAAAATGTTTATGTTTAAATTTGTAAACAAAAAGCAGAAAATATATATAATAGACAGAGAAAGCAAAGAGCATGATTAGAGTCACAAAGAGATCAGAGGCAAGTGAAATAGAATAACCGGACAATTCTCATATTTAGTGTCCTGGAAGGCTTGCTAAGATGAGGATTTGGGGCCCTACCCTCAGAGTTCCAGGAGGTCAGGGTGGAGCCCAAGAGTTTGCATGTGTAACAAGCTCCCTGGCGACGCTGATGCTGCTGGAGGAGGGACCGCACATCACGATGAAGAGGGCTCATCTGAGAAGAACTTGAATTTCCATGGGTCATTATCTTTTCTATACTTAAGCGTCAGTATCATCTATCACTCTCGTTACTATCCTAGAGGTAACCTAAGCAACACTCTTCCATGTGAAAGCCCAGAGAAACGGATCTGTTTCAGTTTCTTCAATCTAATTGTATTCTGACAAATTCCTTTAGGCTTCCTCAACCTCTCCATTTAGCATTTCCCAAAACGTCTGAAGGGAGCTCTGATGGCTTAGCGTTATGGGGTTACACCACCAACCAAAAGACAGATAATTTGAATCCACCAGCGGCTCCATGAAAGAAAGGTGAGTAATCTCCTTGTGGGCAACTTAACAGCCTCTGAAGATTCACTGGAGGGTCAGCTATGAGTTGGTTCCAACTCGAAGGCACATAAGAACAATTAACAAGATGCTTGAATCTAAACCTCTTTAAAGAAACCCTTGGGTATTTTTCCTGTGAGGAAGTCCAATGTGCCTGGCAGTCTACTGCAAAGGACGTAAGAACCTGGGTACAGCTACGTTTTTCAGGGAGCTATGTGGTCAGAAATTGTTCATGTGGAATGAATCTGGAGCAGGAAGCACAGAGAGATGGAATCTAAAAACGGTGGCAAGCTGATTTTTAAAAGCATATCTTTGGTGAAATCTTAACGGTAGGTGCCAATCATCTTCATCCCCTTTAACATCACCTGTTAAGGTCAAAGAGTCTAAAAAAAGAACATGATGTTCTATGGATCAACAGAAATTATTTCACAATTGTGACTAATTTCTGTGAGCAGCAAATGATTCCCATCAAAGAGACAAATGGTTCTCACAAACAGGCAGACAAACTATGCGCTGGAAATAAAGGTTGGTAGTAAACATTTTATGCTGGCTTCCCTGCTGTCTCCTCTGCCCTCTAGAACCCAGCCCAAACCAAAAGATGGTCGCTCACTGTTTCGAGGTTTCTCCTCATCCATGCCTTCATCCTCGTTCTCAGGGTCGATGTCTTCTGCCTGTGTGATCCAGTCCAGGTAGCCTTTGAGGTCTTCTTCCAGCTGCTGCTTTTCTCGCAGCTTCTGGAAATCTCCCCGAGCCTTGGCCTTCTCCCTCTCTTTGGAAAACTCTCTGGTGAGAGGGGGAGGGGTGGGTAAGGCAGGAGAGCACAGAGGAAAGGAGAGGGTTGAGTATCAAAGGAGAAATGGAGATAAGAGACAACAATATTATTATTTTGCACCATGAAATCAAAGCCCCCCAAATTTCTTATTCAGAAACTACGAAACCTGCCCATAAACCCTATTTTCTACTGATAACTTTCCCTAGTCACTCCTATTTTGCCACTAGTCCCAGAAAATAGAAAAGAGCCACCGAGATAGGCTTTCTTGATACTGTCTATGAGTATAGAAAGAGATGGATATAGTTCATTTCTCTTTCTCCTGGGTCATAATCACAGGCTATTCCTGTTGATAATGTTCTCCAAAGACCTGGAAACTCTTGGTGAGCAGTAGCTAACAACTCCACAACAGTTAGGGAACACACATTTTAATTCCTCCCAGTGCTGTGTGGTAATTGAAGAATCTTACCAGAATTACCAGGTATTGTTAGGAGTGGAGTGTGCAGAAGCTGCTCCCTTGCACTCGCTTCTGAAAACAAACTGTGCACATCTCCTTCCAACTCCAGTTTCAGTAATATGCTGTCGGTAGTTTCAAAAATCAGCCAGATGGCAATATTTACACTACGGTAATTGGCAAATGCTACCTACAAACCAGGGCTTCTCTCCCAGAGAGCCCACTGCTATTTACCACTGATTGAGAAGCTGGGAGATTGCCATTGCCAGTCTCTATTCTCAAGGCTTAAGTCAAACATGCCCCTCTTAGTATGCCCGGAAGGTTCTTTCCCACGTGAAGATAAAGGAGGATTCCAAACACAAGAAAATGTCCTGGGGCTTGACCTTTTTTGGTCAAAAAAAAAAAAAAAATCCAATCAGAATAGAATACATAAAATTCAGATGATAGAAAAGTTAAATGATGCACTCAGTTTAAAATAATAATGAGAGGTTGGAAATGGACTGGGATTTACTGGAAGGTCTCTTGAAAATTTTCTGTAGAAGGAGTGCTTCTTTTATGTGTTCTCTGCCTCTACCCTTATTTTATCTCTAGCTTTGAACAGAGAGGGGGCTGACAGCAAATGACAGTAAATGACAAGGCAAATTCTCAATTCTCTAAGCAAATCTGTGCCTTTCCTTCCAAAACAGATCTACAGTAGTATCATTGGCGTTGATGTTTTGTCTGTGGGAAATAAGGCCCTGGGTTTGCAGTGTGAATGTGTGTATGTCTGCATATACACTGTACATGTTGGTTATGTCTTGATTCCTTTACTGATGAGAAACTTCTCTCATCACTAAAGGTCTACTTAATAACAAAAGCCCAAAGAAAACACCATGAAGGCATTTCTTCCATGAGCCAATCATTCCACAAGAAAGTCTGTTTGGGATGGAAGGACACTACCTACAAACCATATATGAGACGGCCCTGGCTTCTGCGGCCACTCAACCATGAAGGGGAAGCTCTATTTCCACATGTACTTTTCAGCATTTGTATGTTGACTGTGCCGCTTAGAAGAGCATGGATTTTAGCACTCAAGATTTCTGGGGGTGTAGTTCGTAGTGATTTGGACTGCTAACCAATGTCTCTCAGGGTTCAAACTCACCAGGGGCTCTGAGGGAGAAAGATGAGCCATCTCCTCTTGTTATGATTTATAGTCTCAGAAACCCGATGAAGGGTCACTATGAGCCACAACTGACTCGACAAGTGCGAGTTTTATTTCTGTGGTGAAATGGCCTTGAGGCTGGGAAGGGGGCTAGGGGGACTTCTGATTGGGAGATGTGGGGGTTCTCAAGTTAATGAGGTCTCTTCAACTGCTGCTTTAATGATGCTCTGGTTTGGATTGAATTTTCTTCTAAAGTTGATTGGATCCAATTCTAATTGGATTGAACTTGCTCTTTCTTGGGCTTCCTGCCAACTGGCGGGCACCAACATTTCCTTCCCAGGGAGCTCTGTGCCAGAGAAAAGAGGGCAGATTGACAGCCAACAATGGAGATGGAAGCCGTGCTTCACGTTGCTTCCTCCTTTCTTTTGCTGAAGTACCCAGCCCCTTTCCATTTAATCTTTTATGCCTGTACCTGGTTAACTCTCCACTCTTACTCCAGAGACAGAGATTTCATACTGAGCTTTCTTCCCTTTGCAATTCAACTGCACAAACTGTATGCCAAAGCCTTTATTACTATCTTTCTCTTCTTATTCATTTCCATTCTCTACTCTTTTCCTATTGAAGTAGGTATGGAGCTGTGGGGTCACTGAAGAACCAAAAATGCATGCTCTGGTTACAAAAGTATCATACATTCTCTGTTTAAAGGTGGGAGAATGGGATTGACATCAAACTAGAGTAGGGACAATGGAGCCTGTCTTGTCTGTTTGGTGGAATTATAACTAGCCATCTATCCCAAGGCCTCTGTGGAACCAAGAAACCTAACTGAACTGAGCTGGTATATCTTGACTGATTTTGAGATATTTTTGCTCACAGTGGAAGGATGTGTGTTGGGGAACGAGGGGGTGGAGAAGTGTTAGGGTCAGGTCTGAAGTCCTTGGCTTCCAGGGTGAATGGGCATAACCAGGCTTAAGACAACCTGAAGGGTGAGCTAGGTTTCCCTCATCAGACCCAACACAGTAAGTGATTCCCTGGATGACAGTGCCTGGCTCTCTTTATCTTCTTGCCTGGATGTCAGCCATGTGCTGCTCTGGGGACTTAGCTAATGAAGATGTGAAACCCTTGTGTGACGGGCTGTACTGGGCCCAGGGGCTGGAGTTGTCTAGACAATCAGTCGGAGCCATGGGATTTGTCTCTACACAGGAACACATCTTTTGCTAGCAATGGCTAACATGAAAAATGAGGGGTGGAGTAGTGTATTAGGGAGGCAATGCTCACTAATGTAAGATGTGCAAAGGGAAATGAGTGCAGAAAATCCAATCAATGCAGCTGACTGGAGCTGCAAGCCCTCTGCAAATAAAGAAATATACGTTGCCATCTCTTCTACTTCCATCCACAGGCATGTAAGGCCTGGTTTTCTCTTACTTCCTTCTGGATCTGGCTACACGGAATCATTACTGTGGAGCCAGTTGCCAGCATATGCCTGCAGGCTATAAAATGTCTATCTACTAGGATCTATGTTTTTCCTCCTACTGTTCCCATTTCCCAGTGGGGAAGAGGGCTGGATGATCACACAACCAAAAGATGCTGGGGTCCATTTCTTCTCATGCTTGCTGAAAGTACATATCGCTTGGCAATAACGTAGAGACAAATGTAACCAGATTCCATAGTTCATCGACTTCCTATTCAAGCATCAAAGATCTCCCTGTCACTACTGTTGTTGTGCGCTGTTGAGTCAGAACTGATCCATAGCTGAGCCTCCAGTGGGTTTTCAGAGGTAGTACACTGCATGAGAGGAGACTGCCCAGCCTTCTCCCACAGAGCAGCTGGATTCCTACATGCCTTCGGGATTTCAGCACAGCTTCTTACCACCAGGCCACCAGAGCTCCTTCCCTGTCACTACGGTTGTTTTAATTCTAGTAGGCCAGAGATTGAGATTGCTGGAGGGGAAAGTAAACTTAATCAGAGTATTATCTATGTTCATACCAGTCCTGAAGAATCGCTGGTACTGCAGTGGGTTAAGAGTTGAACTGCTAACAGAATGGTCATTGGTTTGAACCCACCAGCTGCTCTGTCAGAGAAAGAGGAGGCAGTCTTTGCCTTCCAACCTAGTGCCTTACAAACCCTTTGAGGCAGTTCTTAATTTCATAGGGTCATGTGTTAAAATTGCTTGGTGGTAGTAAGTTTTGAGTTTTAATACCAATCCAATAACTTGCATAGAGTTTATGAAAGGCTCAGTAGATAATGAATATTGGAAGCATTTTGAAAACAAAACCAGAAACTAAGAATTGTGTATTCCTTTACTTTATCTGGTCCTTATGAGGAATAAAGTGTTCTGATACTCAAGCGTTCCAGGTAAAGGATATGCAACCCATGGATAACCATAAGGTTTTAATTTCTACCTTTAAATAGAAACTTTACAGAGTGTCTTCTTTCTTACCTTCATGAGTAGAGCAAACACTAAGTACAATTGAAACTTTCCTTGGTGACTGAAGGACATCGTTGACGAGGATCAGTGATTGTGCTGGACTGTGAAATAATGTTATTCTTAATTAAATGAATATAAGGTTTCATTCATCTCAATTTTAGAATCTCTGGTGGCCCAGTCAAAGAAGCTGCATTGCAATCCCAAGGGCACATGGTTTGAGACCATCAGCCGCTCTGCAGGAAAAGGATGAGCAGTCTCTTCCGTGATTAATTGCCTCTGAAAACTCATGGGAGAGTCAGCTATGGGTTGGCTCTGACTGTACTGTACACAACAACAAATACTAAAGTAGGGAGTTCTGGCGTCTTAGTGGTATGAGACTGCACTGCCAATGCCAAGGTAAGTGATTCAAATCTACCAGCTACTCCACAGCAGGAAGATGGACAATCTCTTCTCGTGTTGATTAACTGCCTCTAAAAACCCACTGGAGGGTCAGCTCTAGGTGGGCTCCAACCGCCCAACAGCAACAGTACTGAAGTGCTACTGAGTTACTGGCTCTGCTCTCCCTCAAGAACTTTGTAGGCCTGTCGGCTTCCCTGATGAATAATCCTGCCCTGCTCGCAGCTTCCTCCCGGGATTTTCTGTTCCCATGGGTTGTTTTCAATAGCCTGCTCATGTTGCCACCTGCCTGTTCCAGCTCATTCTTTCTCACAAGGATGATGAGCTTCTGCTCTTCTCCTTACTCCTTGACTGTGATTCTGGAACATGAGATTAGCCAGTCCAATAGACTTTGGGGTAATAGCACACAGAAGTTATAAACAGGGGTGATGGTGTGACATTGGTGATTGGGTCAATTTTGAACCTCCCATTTTTATTTTATTTTTTTTTCTCCTGTTGGGACTTGGGTCCTGTTTCCATCAAAACCTCACTTTTCTTCTCTTTGAAATGGAGACATTATAGTACCGAGTGGACAGGGTGGTTGTCATTGGCACTGAATGTGCTAGCAGAGGCTGCCATGTGAATGCTGGTTATTAATACGCTTGTCATTGTGCAGTGCATTTCACATAACCCTGTGACTGTTCTGAATGCTCTGGAAGATGGGCTTAATCAGAAATCTGACTACAGAGTATGTGGGTATTTTCTAGCATTTTGGTGGTGATTCTTATACCGTTGTCCTGAATTGAAACTATTCACGCCCTGTGAATAGTTCACCATATGAACAGGAGCCTGATTCTAGCTTTTGTCACTGTGCAGCTCTAGGCAGCCTCTCTACAGATTAGAAGAGACCTCGTCAAAAGAGGAAGTAGAAATGATCACCCAGAGACGTGTCACTACTCTAACAAGGGTGCCCCCAAGGCCTGGGAAGCTTTGGCTGGTAACACTCTTATTAGCAAATCTGGACTGCAAGAAATAGACTGCAGCTCTGGACTGTGTCAGAAAGCAAGTGCTGGGGAAATTCTCTAAGAAAGATCAATGTGTAGGTTTGAGGACGCAAATGTTCAGATGCCTACTATTGTTGTTGTGTACTGTCAAGTCAATTGACCCATAGTTAACCATGTAGCAGGTTTTCAGAGGCAGTTAATTGCAAGGGAGGAGACTGCCCATCCTGCGAAGCAGCTGGTAGATTCGAACTGTGTACGTTAGGGATTGCAGTGCAGCTCCTTGCCATTAGGCCACCAAAGGGTTAAATATAGATCCTTCCCCAAAGTTTTAATGCCTTGTGTTCACAAATGTTTTTGAGTATTACTAAGAGACTTTATAGTAGATTTCATATATCCCTTGTCTCGCTGAAATGCACCAGGGCCAAGACAGGGTCTCCAAAACAACTTTTTCTCTAACATCAGCAGCTATGACTTGCTTTCTCTATTTTGCAACCACCAGGGAGATAACTTCTCTGGGGGAACCAAGAACAGCTGAGGGGCAGATATGCTGCTTAAGGAAGGTCTCATGTTAAAGAGTTCCTTCTTCACTTTAAATTCCTGGGAGAAGGCTTTTAAGATGTTCAGATTAGGCTCCTAATGATTGTCCATCTTTTTCCTGTGTAGTAGCTGGTGGATTTAAAACGTGTACCTTTGTATTGGCCTCACCATTCCTTACCACTAGGCCACTAGCACTCCATGATCTCTAGGAGGAGGAAGTTATTTTTTAAAGGATTAGAACTTGAACTTCTGTTACATTCCAACCTCATTCAATGCCCATCTGATGGGCAGTGATAGAAAAACGGTAGAATAGAAACTAGGCTGGGTTCGTGTTCTGGCCTTGGTTCTATAAAATACTGGGTAAGTGGCACTGACAAAGTTTAACTTTTCTGGTTCTCCCTTCCATAATTTCAAAAAGAAAAGGATTGACATAGTTCTAACAGTGGAAGGGTCTAGCGAGTAATTCAAGTTTTGATAGGTGCCAGTAAAAACGAATCCTTGTCAATGACAGCACCATTATCACATGCTTAACATGCAACTATTATGTTGCATAAAGGTTCTCATCCTATCAGCAGAGCTACCTATTTTTTCTTTTAAATTGCTATCCCTATTTTTTTCCAAACAAAATCTCTAATAATTAAAAAGCTGGAATCACCTGATAGAATCATTCAAATGTGGTAGATTTAAGAGATTATAATTTCCATTTTGAATAGGTGACTATCAAGTTAGTTTTTCAGTGTTTTTTCTCAGGACCACTCATACAAATACAAAGGCATTTTCTTGTGTTGGATCATAAAAACGAAAATTCCTCTATCATCCAGGCAACTAACCAGGGCATATGCTGTCCAGCTCATCCTTTTTAGCTCTGAGAGAATACCTGGGCAAAAAACATAATGCCACCAAGGTCTATACCAAGCCAGCCACTATAGGAAGGGTGAGACTATGAATACATTCTTTCACCCACCCAGTTCTGAAGACTAAACCCAACGTTCCTGCATTGCATTAAGCTGCTGCAGAATTTAGCAGTAGCTGCTCCCAATTTATGCCAAATAAAAGTGAATACGGATCTTTACCATTATGCCTGATTTTATCTCAGTACTAATATCCCTAAATTACTAGAAAAGACTATGAAAAGTAGTTGAATTGTCTCAAGCACAGCAGAAATAGATCACCTACCCCCACCCCACCATAGAGCAAAGGCAGAAGAGTAGATCACCAAGGTATTTTTGTGTCAGGCCTTGGCATGGCTGGTATGAACTTGTAAAGAAAGAGGGCTGAGAAAATAGCCAAGGAGTTTCCTTGGTCTAAAGCTGGCCATTCCAACGATTACTCAATATTTCAATCACATGCTACTTCTACCACTTTTTCAACTGATCAAAGATAAAAATATGGTAGATTTTATATTTCTAGTCTACCAGATTTGAGAGTAAGAATACTTTTGGAAATTGGAAGGAAATGAAGTTTCTTTTTTGTTCTTGTTCTCAAATAATCTACAGTTAAACAACTGATTTTCCTTTTCATTCAAAAAGGAAATTCAAAGGTTCAGGTTGTAAATTAGACTTGAACAGAATTTGATTCTTAGTTTAGCTAAGCCGAACTTTTCCTGTCTTGACCAGCTCAACACCATTAGACAACAGTATGTAATCTTCCTATTAGCCAATCACAAGGTCTGGACATAAAGTTGTAACTGACTTAAAAGATCAAACAAGGCTGTCATATGTGCTGAAGGCACAGGGTCTAGAGTCCTCCTTAAATTACTGCTGTCAAAGCCTTCACACTGAAGGGTCTTATCATGCTGCTCCTGAAGATGAGGTCATTAAGACACAAGGAGAAGCACCCTCCTGGCTTGAATAGCAACTTGAGGGTGATAAAGGGTTGAATGAGTGGATGGGAGACAGGCGAGACGAGGTATCTCTTAGTGAAGACATTTCTTCTGCTCCACTGTCTACCACTCAAACCAATGGATTCATTCCTGGACATCTGCTCCTTTATCCAGCCAGGCCAAGGACACTGACTTCAAGGTTCCTGAGGTGACCCCTTGTCCCAGATTAATCAGAGTTAGGAAAAGAATAAAGCCACAAATAGCAGAAAGAACAAATAAAATAAATGGGGGAAAAAAAATCAAGACCTTTTTCCTCGGTCCTGCTTACCCGCTAAGAACACCGAGAACCAAGTTAAGTACAAAAAATGACCCTATGATGATTAGTGTAACAAAATAGATCCAGGGCCAGTCCCTTCCTACGGCATCATTGACCTGGAAGAATGGAATGATAGTTAGTGAGGCACACTCTGCAACCGAGCATGGCCAAGCGCCACTCACTGCTCCCAAGACTCTGGCCTAACAATACGAGGACCCAAGGATCCTCTGGGTGCAGGTCTGAGACCAAATAGCCTGCCCAGACAATGCGTCAGATTTTTTTGGTTGAACGGTAGCAATTTTTTCCTCCTGTTTTTCTTAGGCCTGTTAAGGTCCCCTCCCTGAGGATCCTGGCCTTAGCTTAGAGTGGAAGCGGAACCTTGCTCGGCTGCTTTGTAAAGACATAGGAATGGTCAGCTTACCCGCTCAACACACCGAGAACCAGATTTAGAACGAAAAAGGATCCAAAGATGACCAGACTGACAAAATACACCCAGGGTAACTCATAGCCCATAGCGTCTTGCATCTGGAAAGATGAAGGAGAGTTAGGAAAGAGAGAAAGCAGAATTGGGTTAAAGCAAAGAGTCAAGAAGAAAGGTATGGGGACAGAATCTGGAGGCGCTAAACAGGGTTGAACTTGGGGGTTTGTCCATGTGGGTAAAGACATCATCTATACGTTCTCTGTGATATTATCTATAGTCAATGCTCTTTCCTATGACCTTGATCTGAACTGAAAAGCATATTTTTAGGCTTGGCCTCAAGAGGAATCTTGTCTGGTTTTTTTTCTATTGGCTTATTTCCAGGAACAGAACATTTTCTCCAGTGCTCTCTGTTGACTCATTTAAGAAGGTGGGTCACCTCAACAAAGAATGTCTTCAGCAGATGATAGTTTAAGCTCGGTAGGGTTTATATGATGATTAAATATCCCATTGTACTCTGAGGCACATTAACGTTTAAAGTATCTCAGCTTTTACTGATCGAGGAGGAGATATGACACTTTAGAGGATATAAGAGTAAAGACATCTTTGTAAGGGACTTGCCACCTGGATCCTGGCTTGTGTAGGATTTATAGAGGCTAAGCCCCCATGATTCATGAACACTAAACTCACAATCTAGTAAAAGGCAGCCATTTGGGTTTATGTATTCAGAGAGCTTGTTTCTGTGCCTGCAACCTCAACTAAAATAGAAATGTTTCTTATCTTGGACCCTGGAACCTGTAACTAGGTTTAAAAAATTATATAGAGAGAGTCTCTTCATAAAAATGATAAAACTCTACAATAGATGGTGGCATTGGTGTACTGCAGCTGGCTCCAACTGACTCTGGAGGTGGGAATGGATGTTAGCTTCTTCTCAACCATACACTCAAGGACTTCATGTTGGTAGCCTGAAATTGACAAGGCTAGGAGTATTTACACCATGGTAATGGCAATAGATGTGAACCAGCACTCCCTCTACCTTTTACGTCTGATAACTGGTTGTTAAGCATTTACAGTTGCAGGATGGCTGTGACTAAAAAAGGCTGAGAAGTACTGAGAGACCTACCTTAACTACTTGTCTGGTTTGATGTGCTGTATTTCTACAGGTCCTTTAGATGCATGAAACCGATCTGGTGTTACTAAATTTTAGTTAGATAAATACAATAAATGTAATCACAGTGAACAGTACAAAAATTGTGTCAAGGGCATAAGAGGTCATTGGTTTGAATGAAGTTAATGAAGAGAAGGGTTCATAATGCACATCCCTTAACCATCTCATAATTAAATCCAATTTAGCACGTTTATTGAGCATTCCCAGTCCTACACTCTGTTCTATTTTCCCCCCATAGTGCTTACCACGTTCTAACTTTATGACCTACCTATTTATAGCATTTATTGTCTGCTTTGCATGCTACAATGTAGGCCCCACAAGGGGAGGAAGTTCTTGTCTGTTGTGTACCCTCCGGTATCTCAAACGTCTAGAACAGTGTCTGGCAGATGGGTGGTGATGTTATGTGTGGTCGAGTCTGAACTGACTCATAGCTGATCCTCTGGTGGGTTTTCAGAGGCAGTAAATCGTACTGGAGGAGACTGCCCATCCTTCTTTTGTGGAGCAGTTGGTAGATTCAAACCATGAGCCTTTGGGATTGCAGTGCAATTTCTCAGCACTAGGTCACCAGAGCTCCAGATGGTATGTTCGCCGAGTGCACGAATGAGCTCAATGCATGCCAGTGTCTGCTCCAAATAGGAACCATGTATGGGGGTGCAGTGGTGGGGCTGTTGTGGTGTACTGTCACTTGGAATGGACTCATAGCTCAGCCTCCATTGAGTGTTCAGAGACAGTAAATCACATTGGAGGAGACTGCTCAGGGATGAGATAGAGGTAAATAATATGTAAGTCCAGTGCAGAGTGGCAGATGTAGAAGTAAGAATGCAGGATTCAGGAAGCACAAAGGGAAGGAGGAGTGGAGGAGAGTTCCTACGAGGCTGGAGGGGCAGGTGAGGCCCACAGCAGGCAGGAGGGTATGAACTGTCAGAGTGGAGCCACTGGCAGCATAAGGAGTTAAGGAGCGAGAATGCTTGTGATCGTGTAATGGGAATGGGGGTTTCTTGGCAACTATTAAAAATAGAGCTTACAGCTGTAACGTCATCCTGGCTCTGGGATGGAGGATTTTCCCAGTGGCTGAATTACTGAAATATCCAGCAAAATAGCAGCTGTTAGAAGAGGCAAGGCAGAAAAGTCTGTGTGGGTCAGACTGGGTCCCCGGCCTAGGGAGCCTGCACGCTAGACCTTGGAAGGCTTATCGTCTTTTGATAGCCAGAGGTTAACTATTGAGACCAGCACTGCAAAGGATGCCAAACCAGGAGAGGGAAATTCAAGAAAAGTCCTTAGGAACAGGAGAATGAAAATAAAACTGTACCAGCACAGGTGAGGACTGGCGGGATGAGCTTAGCAAGGAGAAAGGCAGAGAAGCCACCATCAACTGACCAGAGGCCACGTAATGTTGGCAGTAACAGCCAAGCCATCCCATGGTCTGTAAGCCACATTTTAACATGAGGAACTACTGAGTAATCCTCTGATTATTCTTGGCAAATCCAATCCACTGCTGGGCTCATTCTAATTCGTAGTGACCTGCCAGGCTGGAGTAGAAAGGCCCCCTAGAGTTTCCAGGGCTGTAGTCTTCAGGGAAGCAGGCTGCCACATCTTGCCCCTTTAGCTGACTGGTGGGCTGGGCCTGCCAACTTTCCAGTCAGTAGCTGCACAGTTAATCTGTGTGTCATCAAGACTCCTTTGATTATTCAGGAGTAGTCATATGAGAATCTGCACTTGATAGTAAATACTGCGCAATCGTTGAGTATCTATTGTGTGTTTCTTACATGTGTTCCTGCTGGACTACAATGAAAGCAACTGGGTTGAAGGTATCTCTGAGTTGAGAATTCAAGGGGACTTCTATTGACAGCTGGCTTTGAGACAGGTAAGCCTTTCTCAGATTAAACACTGAAAACCATTAGTGCTTTTCTACCTGTTTGGGAGGATGGGGAAGTCATGAAAAGTTGATGAAAACTATGACCTCAAAGGAAAAAAAAAGACACATGTACCTCTAGTATTCTGTACTCAAATTCAGGAGTGTATTGATACTCTGAAACCTATCCTTTCAAGTGTTTCTTCTTTTCTGACCTCTAGTGGGTTTTCAGAGGCACAGGAGGAAATTGCCCATCCTTCTCCCACAGCCTGCTCTAAATAGTCAACCAGCTTGTTCTAGGTTAACCCAAAGAAGTGCTCTCCTCCAAGTGTAGGTTACAGGATCACGAGAGGCAGAGAAGGTCTATTCTGAGGACATTCCCTTTGTTCCTTCCTCCGGGAAGGTGGGACGGCAGGTTCCAGGAGAGAAGGTGTGCTCACAGTTCACCCTCAGAGAGCTGCCTCCAGAGGCAGGCAGATGGTGAGTGGGAGGGAGGGCTGCTTGGCATCAAACCAAACTCCTTGAAATGGAATCATCCCTGACTAGTGCCTCAGAGCCCCCTAAACTTGGAAAACTAACTAATTAACTAAATAACTATTTATTTATGTATTTATTTTTTTTAAAAGGTTTGTGAACATTTAACCTCACAGAAAAAAGGTCTTTTTGGGTCACCAAACTCATGCACCCCCAGGACACCCCGGGAGCCTCTGCCCAGTTAGGATGTCCTTTCCTCCATGCTTCATACAAGGTGAGTGACTTCCAGCATCATGATGAACTTCAAATGCATGGAACGAAAGGCCTAACATTACTGTCCCACAGACAAAGCTAGATGTCCTCAGTGGGCACAATTAAGTCAATGAGTAGTTGAGTTAGTAGGTATGCAACTACCAACCAAAAAGGTTGATGATTCCAACCCACCCGGAGGAGCCTCAAAGAAAGGCCTGCTCCTTGCTTCCCAAAAGGGCACAGCTTTGAAAACTTGATGGAAAGAAGTTCTGCGCTGACCACACAAGTCACCACAAATTGGAATCAACTCAAAGGCAACCAGGCTAGTGGGTTGTTTGGTTTGGTTTTGCGTCTAAACAGCCAGGGCTAGGGTCTGGAGCACGCTGCTCTGGAAGACGAGGCAGCTCCTGGTGGTCTTCTCCCCCCACTCATTTCTCTTCATTCCTGCTCTGGCTCCTTCCTGGGCTGTGGGATAGCTCTGTCAGAGGTTCAGCTGCAGATTATCGGGGGGAAGCAGAAGGCAGCTTACTGGGAATCCGAGGTAGCACTGAGAACCCAACCTTCTGTTTGGTGGGCTCTAGTATGATTTTATTTTCTGGACCACCTACTTTTGGGGGCAGACTGGGTGGAACCTATAAAATGCTGGGTGGCTCTGAAGTAGGGCAATGCCTGGAAGGATGAAATTGATGTCTTAAATTAACTAGAATGGAGCTATGAAGAAAAGGAATAGAGTATTGAAAAAGGACCCAGATTTCTAACACGTTTATTCATAGGTGAAAAAGGTTGGGTCTACTCAAGTCATTGACATTTTTTAGGCCTGTGATAAAGGAAACACTATGACTTTCCAAAGGAAGATGGAGAGAGGCATTTTGATGGCATTGTCTTCAGCTCTCAGTGCCTCCCTGTCCAAGAACTAATGGGACTGCTCCAGCTTTTGCTGAAACACATAGCC